CGAACCCAGGGCCTGGCACGTGCTAGGCAAGCGCTCTACCACTGAGCTACACCCTCAGCCCCAAGAATAATTCTATTATAACTTGATAACACTTTTGTTGGAAAATAAAAACATCCTGTTTGGGTGTAAAGATCTCCATATGAGTAGGGGCTTTGTCTTATTGTCAGCCCTGCATTCCCAGAATCCAGAACACACAATAGTTGCTCAATAAACATTGAATGAGTGACTGAATTAATGAATAACTTCAAGACTGGCTGTCTGGATACAGGGGGAAAACATCAACAGTGCAGACCTGAAAGGTGGGTTTAGGAGGGCCGGGCATGGTGGGGGATGGTGCATGCCTGTAATCCCAGCTACTTGGGAGGTTGAGGAGGAGGATCCCAAGTTTAAAGCCAGACCGAACCACTTATTTCAAAATAAAATAAAAAGGGATGTGGCTCAGTGGCAGAGCACTTGCCTAACATGCTTAGAGCCTTGGGTTCAATCCCTAGTACCATTAAAAAAAAATGTTAGAAGGGACTTTTATTTTCTTAATATATTCCTATTTTCCTGAGCATTTTAAATGAGCATCTCTCATGCTTCTAATGAGGAAAGAAAAGACAGTAAAGGCATTAAAAGGAACAGAGCATGGGTGTCGCAGTTTGGGAGGGGGAAGGGGGAGGAACTCACTGAGAAGAATGCCAGGCTGGTGACCAGGGCAGGCCACCCACCCACCACCCCACCCACACTCAGCCCAGGTCTGGCTGAGCCAATAGATCTTCCTGGTGGGCAGCTCAGGAAGCAGCTAGGGCTGCAGGAACCTTGTGGGAGGAAGAGGAGGCCCAGAGAGGGCCTGAGACTAGCCTGAGATCACACAGCAGGCCCAGGACAGATGAGCCAGGGCAGGGCTCAGCCTCCAACACCAGGATACCTGGACACCAGAAAAAGTTACTTCTGTTCCCAGCTCTGCTCACAGATAGGAAACTTGGGGCCCCAGGGGGAGAGAGAGCTAGAGGCTTTGGAGGCCAGGGAAGCTGGCCTTAGGATCCTAAGGTCAAGTTCCCTCAGAAACTCCAGAGACCTCCCACTCCCGGGGGCTGATCTGACTCTGACCCAAGACTAGCACCCCCCCACACACACACACACACACAGTGTCACTATGAGATCAGAAAATACATGGCTGTAGGCATTGGCCACAGCCTCCTCTTCCTCCCCTCCAGATCCATTCCCATGTGGGGTCCTCAAGATAGAGGCTGTCATACATTCTCCTGGAATCCTATACAGCCATGGAAAAGGACAGTGCTGCTCTGCAGGACACCCAAGTCACAAGGCTTGCTCCAGTGCAGGGTGAAGGAAGCCAGCCCTGGGGACCCAGGTCGCACATCCTTGCCCGAGACACTCTCGAAAAAAGCCAAAGAATAAAGACAGAAAAACAGGTCGGGTGGGGTGGGGGAGGGGTTGAAAGGAGCACAAGGGCCCGGGGAGATGAGCTGTTGTGTAACTGGGTCGTGGGGGAGGCTCAGTGGCCAGATGTGTTTGACAAAAATTTGCAGAACAACAGGCTAAAAGGGAGGCATTTTTTAATATATGTAAACACTCCTTTGATTTATGGGGTTTTTGTTTGTTTTGTTCCTGGATCGAACCCAGGAGCGCTCTACCACTGAGCTCCAAACTCACTCCTTTGGATTTTTTGAGGCAGCATCTTGTTAAGTTGCTGAGGCTGGCCTTGAACTTGCAAACTTGTCATCCTCCTGCCTCAGCCTCCCAAGTTCCTGGGATTACAGGCATGTGACACTACACCGGGCTGCTCCTTTAAACTAAGATCCACCCCCCCCCCAAACCCTCCAATGGCTCCCTCCCATCTCAGAGTCAAAGCCAAAGGCTCCTCATTCTGCTCCCCTTCACCTCTTAGGCTCATCCCCACCCACTGCCCCCCGCCATTCTAGATTCCTTGTGTTCTTTAAATATACCCCAGGGTCTTTGCACTGGCTGCACTCTGTATCCGGACTGCTCTTCCCCCCAATATCACCAGACTCACTCCTTTACCTTCCTCAAGTCTTTCATCAAAAGAGCCCATCTGAGCTGAGCTCTGTCCTAGCCACACTGTCTGAAACCATGACCTCCCCGAGGAGCATACGCATCCACCTTCCAGCTCAAACTCCTTTCAAGGCACTTCTAACTAAGAGACTCTATATTTATTTTCTTCTTTTTTTCTCTCTCTCTATACTAGAACATTAACCGTATGAAGGAAAGGGGTTTTGTCTGTTTTATTTACTCTCATGTCCCCTTAGAACAGTGCCTGACATACAATAGGTGTTCAATAGTTGCTAAATTAATTAGAAATTGAGTGAATAAATAATACCTCATATATATATATATATGATCTGGTCCGTGCATGGCCCCAGCAGGCCCCAGTCCCACAGCGGCTTTCACACACATTCATTCAACAACCCCACCAAACATTAATTGCTCATTTTTTTATTCTTTTACTTTTCCTTATTTGAGGAAGGATTTTGGGGGGGTGGGGTTTAAAGACTCCAACAAGCGAAGAGACATTTACAAGCAGGAGCCAAAAAACAAGGAAGAGGGTGTAGTGCAGTCCCTAGGCCTTGGCAGGGATTTATCAGACAGAAATCTCCCAAGCCCAGGCTGAGGGTGGGGAGGACAGACACAGACACTGTGTAAATAAATGTGATGGCAAAGATGAGGGCTTCTGGGAGGAGATGATGTTTGGGCAACAGCACATGCAAAGGCTTAGAGACAGGGAAGCCGCCTGCTCATGAAATTTCAAGGAGCATGTTCTGGCCTCTCCAGCCATTTCAGTTCTTTGGAGGCAGGGAAGTCACCTGAGACACACAAGGTCTTATCTCCCTTGCTCAGGATGGAAGCCAGCCCTGACTCAGTCGAGGTCAAGGCCCTCTCTGACCCCAGAATCCCTTTGCATCTCCTGGTAAGTAATGATTCATCTTATTTTGTTTCCAAACTCCCTGATACTCCATAACACGCTTGTAAAACAAAAACAAATTGTCTGGCGGGGCTCAGTGGCACACACCTATAATCCCAAGTGCACCATCTTCGGGGAAAGGAAGGAGGATCTCGAGTTCAAAGCCAGCCTCAGCAAAATCGAGGCACTAAGCAACTCAGTGAGACCCTGTCTCTCAATAAAATACAAAATAGGGCTGGGGATGGGGCTCAGTGGTTGAGTGCCCCTGAGTTCAATCCCTGGTACCCCCTCCAAAAAAAATTTTTTTAAAGTATCTAACAATAAAAAGAATGACAATAATTCCAAAGGTAAAAAATTTATGGGCAGAAGCGTTCACAAAAATTGCTATCCAAATAGCCAAGGTGTATATGAAAAGAGCTCGAGTGTACCTGGTTGTAGGGCTCCTGCCTGGCATGCCGGGAGACCTTGGATTCAATCACTAATACAGAAAAGAAAGAAAGGGGCGGGGCACAATCAGTCACCAGGCAATTAAAGCCCCAGCAAGAATGCATTTCATGCTCATCAGAATGACTCAAATTAAAAAGACCCAACAAAACTCTCAGAATTGTTGGTAAGAAGCTAAAATGGTTCGACCACTTTTGGAAAAAAAAAAAAAAAAGTCTGGCAGTTTCTCACAAAACGACACCTACAGCCACTATAACATCCAAAAATCCATTGCAGGTGGCTACTACCCAAGGGGAATGCTCAGTTTGCAGATCCTAAAAGATGCCCCAAGAATGTTCACACCATGTTTATTTATGATAGTCTCAAAACACAACTCAAATGCCCTTCAACATGTGAACAGATAAATAAAGCGTCATGTGCGCACAATGGAGTACTTAGTTATAACAAAGATACAAGCCACAGCATGGACACATCTCAGATAAAGGTTGAGCAAAAGTACATGTTGTCTGATTCTGTTTAAAGGGTGTTCTAGAAAAAAGCTCTTCCGTCATTAATGCTAAAAGTCAGGGACTGTGGTTACCGCCCAGGTTGGGCACTGATTGGAAAGGGGACCCTAGGGAACCCTTTGGATGGTGGGCACCTGGGTGTGAATGGTCAAGTTGATGCGTTAATTAACAAAACAATAAAAGCAATCTGCAGTCGTGTGATTTCAAGTGGGCAGACACAGCCAAACTTCAGACACTAACGAGGAAAAGTCTGGGGTCCGAGGGGAGAGGGGACGACTGGTTAAGTCCCCTTTCCAATAAGCAGTCTGGGGGGAGCCCAAGGGTCCTGGGTCTTCAAGAAAAGTTCCCGCCTCTTTCTAGAACTCCGTGCCCCCCCCCCAGTCCCCACCCAATCTGTGGAGTGGAACCAGGGATTCCCAGCAATCTGTAGCCCTCTTTCACAGAGGTGGCATTTCGCCCCTACCCTTTGGGACTAATCCCACTCCAGCATCCCACAGCTGCTCACAGATGGATGGGCACCACCTGAGCCCCCTCCAGCATCCTGTGAATCGGGGATGCATTTCGCTGCTCCGGGCCTCGATTTGCGCACCTGTACAATGGAGCCAGGCATACCTATTTCTCGGGCTCGTGGTGAGAATTCTACCTGAGCACAGGGGACTCCTTACAGCGTGCTTCCTGCGTGAACAGGGCTGTGCACAAGCCGTGCACACAACAAGTGCTTAATAAACGATGCTGGTTGTGGTGACTGATTAGAATATTCCTACAGGTTGTTATAACATCTTTGAGAAGGGTCCATGGGCGGGATGGAATCCTAGAGACGTCCGTAGAACCCAACCGGAGGGAAGAGCAGACGTCCGTAGAACCCAACCGGAGGGAAGAGCAGCTCAGCCGGCCGCAGGAGGAGAGCGCGTTGTTTTGTTTGGGGCTGCGAAAGTGGAACGCCGCCCGTGGGGGGCGCGCGGCCACTTTAAGAGTCGAATGGAATGTATCAAAACAAAAAGGCCGCGCGCCCATTGGCTGCGCGCCGCACGTGACCTCACAGCTGATTTCCTGGCCGCCTCCGGGGCCCTCCCCCGCCCCCCGCTCCTCCTCCTTTTTTTTTTTTTTTTTTTTTTTTTGTTGCTGCCGCCGCGGCCGCCGCCGAGTGTCAGTTTCAGCGCCGCCGCCTGCGGTCTCTCTCTCTCTCTCCGCCGGGTTTCCCCCCACCCCCCGGCCGCCCCGCGCCCGCAGCCGCCCTGCTCCTGTGCCCGGACCCCCCGACCCGCGCGGCCCGGCCCGCGCCCATGGCGCACTCGGCGGCCGCGGTACCGCTGGGCGCGCTGGAGCAGGGCTGCCCCATCCGCGTGGAGCACGACCGCCGGCGCCGCCAGTTCACCGTGCGCCTCAACGGTAACGGCGCCCCCGCCCTTTGTCTGCGCCAGCGGCCGGGGAGCGGGTCCCCGGGGGCGGGAGGGACGGCGCGCAGGGCGGGCGGGCGCGGGGCCGAGGGGGCGCGCGGGGCCGAGGGGGCGCGCGGGGCCGGGCTGCCCCGGGGGGAGGGGGGGCGCTGTGCGGAGCCCGCGGGAGCGCGTCGTCCGAGCCACCAGGGGACTCCACCTGCGCCGCCCGGCTGCCTGCCTTCCGGTGTCGGGGACCCGCGAGGGCCGCGGTCGTCGGGGACCTGCCCCCTTCCCCGGGCGGCTCAGGGGCTGGTCGCTGCCCCGGGAACTCGAGCTTTTTTTCCCTACACTAGAATCTGCCCCCTGGAGAGTCCTCCTGCCACCTGGGGCTGACGGGGAAGGGCTCTCTCTCTCTGCCCTCGCAGGGAGTGTGATATGGGTTTGTATGGGGAGGGTGACAATGAGGTGACTCTGGGACAGTGGCCACTCGGCCTGTCTCTTCTGAGTGCTTCGGGGAGTAGCGCACACTTCACTGGACGTGAAGGACGGAGCCGCGCATTGGGCTCCTAAAAATGTGGATGGAGCATTAATTTTTAAAAAATATTTATTTTTTTAGTTTTAGGTGGACACAATATTTTTATTTATTTATTATTATTGTTGTTATTATTATTTTAATATTTATTTTTTAGTTTTCGGCGGACACAACATCTTTGTTTGTATGTGGTGCTGAGGGTCGAACCCGGGCCCCAAGCATGCCAGGCGAGCGCGCTACCGCTTGAGCCACATCCCCAGGCCCTTATTTTTTATTATTTTTTAATATTTATTTTTTAGGTGTAGATGGGCACAACACAATGCCTTTATTTATTTATTTATTTATTTATTTATTTATTTATTTTTTAATGTGGTGCTGAGGATCCAACCCGCTTGAGCCACAATCCCAGCCCCCTGAGCATTATTATTATTATTTTTAATCAGAAAACAAGGTCAAGTCCTTAGTTCCTGTAGAGAGAGATTTTTACCAGCCCACATCCCCTTCCCCCCTAGAAGTTGGAAATAGAGGTTATGAAGTTGAGGACCCTGAACATCCTATCCCCCTGAACTCTCCACATTCCATCCCCAGCTCAGCCCTCCCTGGATACTGTCCAAGCCTCTTAGAGGCCACTGTGCCCATTTCCAAGAGGGAAAGATGGAGGCCCAGAGGTGGTCAGCCTCTGAGTTGAGGTAGCAGCGGAACAGCATTCTTCTTGGCTCCGGCCACTGGGCACTCATGGCTGTCGCAGGAACTGGGACTTCTGTTTGGGCATCCTGAGCATGGAGCTAGGCCCTACCACTTCCATGGCCTTCTGATGCAACTGTCACAATGTCTCTTAAGATGTGTGATGACACACCACCCCACATTACAGATAAGTAAATTGAGTTCAGAGCTGCAGGAAGTGTCTTGCTCAGCGTCACTTGAGGCCAGAGGCGAAAGCTCAAATCTGGACCCTGCTGACCCTGTCACACAGTCTTCCCTCATAGGAGCAAGTCTTTCTGCTGTGGTTCTGGCTGCGGCCCAATTGGCAGTGACATTCAGTGTTCCGGCCACTTTTGTGGGAAGAGCCTTGTGGCTTTTCAGATCCTCTCTTTTGAGGTTTTTCTGATTTCCAGGGGGGTTCTGGTTCCCCTGGTTGGCTCAGGAGGCCCAGGAGACTTGCAGAGAGAAAGAAAAAGGAATGTTTGAGTTTTTATTTTTTTTCCCCCAAAAATGGCAAAGGACAACCCTACTGGGGGCTGGCTGTCATCCAACCATATTCTTACACTTGTCCCCTTCTGGAACTTACTGCCCTGTGGCTAACTATAGGTGTGGCTAGGGATCCTCCCAGTCCAATTCAGAGGCAGAGGGAAGCTGGCAGCTCCTTTTAAGTCCCCAATATAGGCACAGCACAGCCCAGGGCTGGCCTCAGGGTGTCCAGGTGGCCTGGAGCTGGGTATATTTGAGGGCTGATGTGTGTCCAGCTTGGCCTGCCTGAGCTGGAGGGGCACAGACTCAGAGGGTCTCCTAGTGCCTATACGGAAGCCTGAGGCTGGTGCCCCTGTGCCCATTAACAGATGTGGGCACTGAGTCTGAGCTGTCAAGCGGTCGGGGGCTGGCAGTGCAGGACCATGTTGGGACTGTCATTTCCCTGGCCTCCAGAGAAGGCTTATTCCTCAGGGTCTCCCTGTGGCAGAGCTGGGCTGTTTATCTTCCTGTGAGCTCTGGTTCTGACTATCATTTACAGATGATACTGAGGCCCAGGCAGTGCAATGGCTGGCCAAAGTCTTGCATCCAAGGTGTGGAGGAGCTCGTATTTGTTCCCCAACTCTTTATTGAGCACCTATTGTGTGCCAGCACTCTTCAAGGTGCTAGGGACTCATGGAGCTGATAGCGTCGAGGGGGAACGTGGCTGATAGATAAATTGTGAAGTCTCCTAGATAAGTAGGACTCTGGGGAGAAGGGGCGCAGGAAAGATTGGCGGGTGTGTAGGAGTGAGGCTGCTGTTTCAAAATCAGGTGTCCAGGAAGGTCTCCTCCCAAGAAACGGAGAAAGAAACTGAGCGGCCCCAGCAAAGAATGTTCCAAGTCAAGGGAACGTCACGTCCAAAGGCCCTGTGCTGCCCGGTGCGCGTTCAGAGCAGCAGGGCAGAGTGGAGGGGCCGGTAGGTAGGAAGAGGGGCTGAGATCATGGTGAGCAGATGGCGCAAGGCCTCGGGAGTGTGAATTTATATGAATTTGGCTTTGACTCTGAGGCAGGTGGATACTCTAGGGACTCCGTGAGTGTCCACCTTTCCCTCTCCCTCCCTCCGCCAGGGCTGAGTGTCCATCTTTCTGCAAGGAGCAGGATCACCCAGGATCCCAGAATCCTGGAATTTTTCCACATTCTCCCCACCGCCCATTTGCAGATAGGAAGCCTGAGGCCCCCCAAGAGGCTTTGAGGCCTCTGGCCTCCCCCAGCACCCTGCAAGGTTGAGAATACAGTGCCTGGCCCCATGGGGGACCGTTTCCCGCCCCAATCACCAAGACCCCCTCCCCCCAGCACCCCTGGTCCACTGTGGCCTTTGTGTCTCCCTGTGACTACCTTCCCTGACGACTTGCTGGGCCCTTTGATGCTGCACAGGGCACTGGGGTAAAGAGCCACAGGAAGGTCCCCATTGGCATGGGGGCTTTTACTTCCTTTATTTGGCTGGTTAGTCAGTTGGTAGCTCCCACAGGCCCGGCCAGCACTCTACCTCTGAGCCACGCCCAAGCCCTGACCTTTAACTTTTGGGAACCAGCTACAGATTCATGATCTGGATCTGATTCTCAGTCCTCCTAGGAAGGAGGTGGGTGGTATAGATTTGTCCCTGCTTCATTCAGGTTCAGCCACTCTGGCCTCCTTGCCGTTCCTCGAATATCCTACCCCAGGACCTTTGCACATGCTGTCCTCACTACCCAACCTGTTCATACTCTAGATCTCCCCTCATTCCTTCTAGTCCTTGCACAAGAAAAACTTCCCCTGTACACTCTCTTTACAATGGCGCTCCCCCTCCCCCAAATCCCTGCCCCTTCTCTGCTATAATGTCCTATAATAGCACACAGATACCCATCACTTGAGAATCCTGAGTCATTTGTAATAATTATTGTTTATTACCTGTCTCCTCTACTGAAACAGAGCCTCCACGCGGGAGGATTTTGTTAGTTTTGTTCACTGCTCAGCACCCCATACTCTGCCTGAACAGAGTAGGCCCTCAGTGAATTTGGAGTAATTAATTAAATAGGGTAGGTGGGCAGCTCCCTCAGGGATCAGGTCAGTCCCAAATAGCTTCTCATGGCTGCTTGCCTGTCCCAAGGGGGCGGAGTTAAGCCCAGCAGATGCAGCCCTGAGGACCAAGTCCTGTGGGGTACAGCTGGGGCAGAGGTGGCCTTGGAAGCTGCAGCTGGGCATTGGCCAGGGCGGTAGGCATAGCCCACAGATCAACGGTCAGGCCAGGAGGGGGCGCCAGTGCAGGGCACCTGGAGGTGTGGGGCAGAGGAAGGGCTGGGGGAGAGCATTCTGGACCAAGAACTGCTCAGGCAAAGGCTTAGCGGCAGGAAGCAGGGGCGGTGGGCATGCCTTGGTGGGGCAGGAGAATGAACTTGGCTTGGGACTCAGAGGCCTGGTCCCCGCATCACCTTGAACCTGCTGTGTGACCCCTGACTCTGCGACGCACTTTCCTCAGCTGCCCGAGGAACTTGGGAGCTGGCTGGGGAGCCTCCCTCCTGGAGTTGGGGAGACTCAAGGGATTTCAGGGGCCAGAAAGCCTGACAAATGGGGGTGGGATCCTGTTCTGGAGTCTGATTTGCTTTTAGGACCCTGGGTGGCTCATTTGATATCTTCTTCCCTTTGTGACAGCTAGCAGCACAGCAAGGCTGGCCACCCAAGCAGAATTTACTAATGTTAAGCCATGTAAAATGCAATTTTTTTTTCCTTTCAAGTGAGAAATACGTGAAATACGATTGGCTCTTAAAACACGGAGAAAGACAACTTGATGTTGACATGTTTTCCTTGGGAGCCAAGGAATGGTGTCTTCCAACCTCACACTGGCCGCGCCCTCTACCTGTCCTTCCTCCTCTCTTCCCTCAGCCATTTCCTGCTCATGTTCACACATCTCAGCTCAGGGAATTTTCCGGGGAGGGCTCCTCCTCCTGACTGCCCTCTGCATAATGGCCCTGACCCTCCCCGCACCCAGTGGATTTATCTCCTTCATGCACAAGAACTCCCTGACATTGGAAGGCTTGGGACAGCCTTGAGAGCACATGCATGTCACATGCCAGCAATGTGGGAGGCTCGGGCACGAGTACTGCGAGTTCAAGGCCAACCTGGGAAACTTAAGTAAAAGTAAAGAGGGCTGGGGACGAAACTCGGTGGTCAAGCAGCCCTGGGTTCAACTCCCATTACAAAAGAAGGGACCCACCAATGAATGGAGCAGCATAAGGAGCAGAGGTCTAGCCGCACTCAGATCCTGCAAGGGAAAACCTCAGGGCAGCTCCGGGGTCCCACCTCTTCTCCTCCTCCCCAGGCTGCCCCCAGTGTCACCCACCAGGACCAGAGCAGCTAACACTGGTCTCCCTGCTCCTGTCTCCCCAGTCTGTCTCCCCCCCCCCCCCCGTGAAGTTGAGAATCACCTCCTGTGCATCCTCTTCCTGACCCATCTCGTGATGGCTTAGGCTCTGCAGGACTGTCACCTCCCTGCCCTCCTCTCCTCCATCCTCCCGATCACCTGCTCCACCCTAGCCACATGGCCTCGCCGTCCCTCCTATCGGGCGTCAGAGCCATTGCACCTGCCTCCTCCTCCTCCTCCAGCACTCTGTCCCCCACCTAGCATTCCTCAGGGCTCTTTCCCACCCTGTGACACGTCATGCTGTGGGAGGCAGGTCTCTTGGTGTCTTGGCCTTTGCTTTATGCCCAGGATTGAAACCGTTCCCGGGGCTCCATAGACCACTCGATGGGAGGACGGAAGGGTGGCCATCTGTGTGAGTGGATAGTTGGATGGAAGGATAGATGGGTGAGTGGATGGAATGATGGTTAGGTGGACAGACAGACGACGTGTAGCTAAAAACTGGGACTGAGCCAGGTCCTGTGGCACACGCCTGTCATCCCAGCAGCTCAGGAGGCTGAGGCAGGAGGATCCCAAGTTCAAAGCCAGCCTCAGCAACGTAGCAAGGGCTAAAAAACTTAGCAAGACCTTGTCTCAAAAAGTAAAAAGGGCTGGGGATGTGGTTCAGGGGTTAAGCACCCTGGGTTCAATCCCTGATACTCAAAAAAAAAAAAAAAACCCTGTGATTGGAGGAATCACAGCAGAAGTTGCAGGTGGCCTGGGGAGCCCCTGTCCTGGTGGTCTTGGGAGAGCAAGAAGACCCACTGCCTCCAACCCTGTGAGGAAGCTGAGGCCCAACGGTTATTCAGAATTCAGTTCTAGTAACCTGGCTCCACGTGCCTGTCTCTCCATCCCAGCGTCCTCTCCTGGGTCCTGTAGGACTCTTGGCCAAAGCTGACCGAGCCTCAACCTGTTTGCATCTCCCATCCTCAGGGTGTCATGACCGGGCCGTCCTGCTCTATGAGTATGTGGGCAAACGGATTGTGGACCTGCAACACACCGAGGTACCGGATGCCTACCGCGGGCGTGGCATTGCCAAACACCTCGCCAAGGTAGGGTCATCCGCAGGTGGGGGGGCCCTGGGGACAGTTACCCTCCCGCTCAGTCAGGCTGCGGCCTGGCAATTGATTGCTGCGTGCTTTTTGGCCAGAGTATAGACCCACAGGTCTTCATTGCCAGCAGGTCACAGTGGGCAGTAGGGGTGTTGGGCAGTACTCTATACTCCCTGGCCCTCCTGAGGGAAGTGGCAGTCACTTGGGGCCCAGGCTCCCGATCGGCAGAATCCTGCTGCAGACACATCTCCAAGGTTACCACAGCCTAATTCTGTCCTAGGGCCCCAGACCTGGCACATAGTAGCTGCTCAGTAAGTTCTGGGGGGTGGGGGGGACAAATGGATGAACAGCCAGGTCAGTGGGCTCATGGCCCTTTCCCAATCCACTCCACAACTTTGTTCATCCTCAAAGCCCCTGAAACCTCAGGCTGCCTGGACTGTAGGTCTGAGCTTCATAAGGGCGATTGCTTCTGGAGCCGAGAATGGCCTTCAATTTCCCCGCAAGGCCTGCTCCCAGGCTTAGCTGGACCCTCTGTCGGCTCCCCCTCACCCACCACAGCCTCTGCTTCTTGGCTCAGGCTTGGGAAGGGGGTTATCCCGAGTCGCTAGGAAAGGGACCCCCTGTCGTGGGCCAAGTGGGAGGGTTGCTGTAGAACATGGGGGATGCAGAGGAGGTGGGTGACCACTACCTTCTCAGGCTGGGGGCTCTGACCACCCACTCTCTCCTCTGCCGCGGTCGCCAGGCTGCCCTGGACTTTGTGGTGGAGGAGGACCTGAAGGCCCATCTCACGTGCTGGTACATCCAGAAGTATGTCAAGGAGAACCCCCTGCCGCAGTACCTGGAGCGGCTGCAGCCGTAGCCCCGGCCGTGGGCAGGAGCGCCCCCTGCCGGCCCCTCCGCGCGGACTTGGCCCCAGCCCCGCGTGCTCTCAGGAACCTGCTCCCGCTGGGGACAGGCTCAGAGTTATTTTTGTAAGGACGCCCATCCGGGGCCCTGTGTCCAGGCTCCTGAAGATGGCTGGCCGAGGATGGGCGGTGATCCAGTGACCAGGGCAAAAGAGGGTCCCCACCGCCTTCAGTGGGCAGCGCGACAGGACCCGGGGCCAGCCCGGGGTGGGGGGGGGGGGGTCCTTGCTCTGTGATTCAGCAGGAGGCTGTCGTGGGACCCCTCCCATACCTGGTGCTGTGTCCTTTCTACGAAGGAGGAGGGCATTTCCCAGAGCTGAGAGGAGCAAGAAAGAACCTCGAGTGCCAACCTCGCAGAGCGGTGGCACCAAGCCTCTTCTGCCACCAGCACTCCCCCGTCCCTCCCCCCACGTCTCTTCTGCAGAACTTTGGTGCCCTGGTGCAGGGGGGTGGGGGGCAGAGCAAAGGGCACCCCCTCCCCTGGTGTGAGCGAGAAGGGTGTGGACGGAGCTCTGGCCCAGGGGCGGCTCTGCGCATGTGCACACCCTCGCACAGGAGCCCGGGGTGGGTGTGGGCAGGCTCAGGGAGAAGCAGTGGGTGCTTACCTTGCTTTCCTCGGTGCCTCGACTTCTGCTGGCCTCTTACCTGTCCAGGCACTCTCAAGAAGGCTCGCCTGGGAGCTGGAGCTGGAGGAAGGCATACTGACCCCCCAGCGCCCACCCCAACGGCCTCATCACCAAGAGAAAGGAGCACTTCCGCTGGCAGGTTTCTTTTACTGATGCCAAACACCAGAGCGTTAGTTCTCTTTGCGGGGCCAGCTGTGGCCAGGTCCATTCTGTTGGCCTTTGTAAGTCCCAGGCCCCCTACCCACACCAGCCTTCCTGGTGACAGCCTGGGAGGTGCGCCAAGCATGACTTGGGTCTGTGGGACACCCCCCCCCCTTTTAGGGGACCCTGTGTCTTCCCTTTGAGGGCTGGTTAGGGCTCGGGGTCCTGATTTCTTGTACCCTGTTCCCCACAAGGGTCAAGTCTCTTCCTGCTCCTCTATGGAGCCGAGGGTGACCCAGGAATCCAGTCCCTTTTGAGTGGAGGGGACAGTCATCAGTGAATCCTCGGATGTGACGTGCCCCTTCCTCTGGGGGGTGTCCGGGGCTCCGGTTCGTCCCCACTCCTCCCGTGCCTCTCTGCCTCCAATGCCGGGGCTCAGGGCGGGGTGGGTGTTGGGGTGCCTTGGTGACTCCTCCCCGTGGTGCTGGGCTGGCCGGTGGCCCTTTCTCCCATCACTGCCTCACGTCTCCCAGCCTTGGCACCAACATCCCCAGCTTTCCTCCCCCAGCCACGGCCAGCGCGGGGGCTCAGACAGCTTCCTGCCCGGCGGCAGCGACTTCAAGGCCCACACACACGAGGAAGGCTGGCAGCCTTCCTGGGGGGGCCCCCTCCGTTTAGCACCGCTGAGCCCCCACCACGGCGAGTCATGGGTGTGGGCCTTCGGTGGCATCTGTCCCAAGCATCCCCTGCCTCCCAGGCCTTCACCTTGGGCCGGGTGCAGAAGTTCCCGCTCTGGCCTCCAGGAGAGCCCAGGTGGCCCGTTCCTCACGTGCTCCTCAGCTCTGTTCCCAAAGGGCTTCCTTGAAGGGCCAGAAAAATACCCTGGGCCTCCCGAAAGAAATGGCTGGCAGGAGGGGCTCAGCTGTGCCGTGTCCCACACAGTGGTGACCCCCCGCTCCTGGGTCAAGATGCTAAATGAGCAAGTCCCAGCCCTCCGAGTAGACAGGCCGCACTGTCTCCCCTCCTGTCCAGGGGCCGCTGGACCAGGGCTTCCAGTCCCTCCCGCAGGACCCCGACCCCTCCCACACGTCCTCCCCACGTTTCCTCCGAGCTCGGTGAGCCAGTGCTGGGGCTGTGGACGACAGGATGGGGTGGCCCTGCACGCTGCAGCCTACCCACAGAGGTGGCCCTGCAGCGGCAACATGAGGGATGCCCCACGGGAGGTCCCCGAGGACTAGCACAGTCTCAAGGAGCAGGGGAGCCAGGAGGAAGCAGCCCCATCCCTGCCTGAACCTAAGGTCCCCACCCACCGCGTTCTGACAGCAGATGACTGGCCACGAGCCCGTGAGACACTCACTCAGTACTTGAATATGGAGGCCCTGGGCCCAGGAGGAGTGGCCGGGTCGTCCCCAGTGGGCCCGTCCCAAGTTCCTGCGGGGGGGGGGGGAGGGGGACCTGAGCATGCTCACCTCCTCCGGTTGCCTTAAAGCCCCAGACTCCACAGCAGGGGTGGTGACCGAGCTGTGCTGGGCCTGGCCCTGGTCGCCAGCTGAGCCTTGGAGCAGCAGCAATAGCTACATCCCCACCCTGACCTGGAGCCCCCGGCCCGCAGCCCAGTTCAGCTTCTGGTGCTACCCTCCTGCCCGGCCTCCCCGCCACACCCCTCTCTTGATCCACTTCGCTCCAGGAGCAAAGGGACATTTGCCCCCTCTCCACTGGGAGCTGTTCATCTGAAGCCTCGTGCTCTCCTCCTGCTGGGTCTGACCTGTGGGGGGGGGGGGGTTCCCTTTCTTTGTCCAGTCCACACAGGTGCCTTTCCTACCCAGGACCCACCCGCCCCAGCGGTGTCCGGCCAGCTAGACCCCATCCCCGGTCCTTCTCAGATTTCTGAACATAATGATGAGCATTTCAACAGAAGGGAGACCTCGGCTCCCCGGGAGCTGCTGCTGCGTGTGCTGTCCCCCGTGCAATCTAGTGTGTGCAGTGAGGACGTTGGAGCCCCCCCAGGGGCAGGAGGAATGGGAAAGGCAGGCTACGAAGGTGTTCTTTGTTCCTTGTCACTAGGGACCAACCTAACCATCAGCACCTGCCAGAGACTCTGAGACACCCGGACGTGGCTGAGATTCCCCTTGCAGGACAGTGGCTTTGGCATTAGGGTCCCCACCCTGGTATGGGCAGTGCCTCTCCCGTCCAGCAGGCCCGACCCACCCCACACAGTTCCACTTTACAGTCTAACTCGGACCCCAGCCTCTCACCTGCCTGGGAACAGGTTTCCCGGGACAGGGCTGGTGAGGTGACATCAGCCTCTTCTACAGGAACTGCGCTCAGTCCTACAGGAAGTTGGGGGGGGGGGGTCCATCCAAATGCCAACAGCCTAGGGATCATAATGAAGGCCATGTCCCATGCCATCCTGTTTCCCAGAGAGGTCGCCGTCTCCCGAATGGGAATTTTCCTAGTAGTTCCCAGTTGGAGAGTAAAATATCTAACTCCCCCCACCCAAAAAAGAGGAGAGGCACAGCGGTGGCTGAGCCTTTCACAGTCTCAATTTTCAACCATCCCAGGAGATGCCAGTAGTTGGGCCTGTTCAACAGATGAAGAAACTGAGGGTCATAGGGAGTCAGTAGCCTGCAGCCCACACAGAGGGACTAAGCCAAACCCATCCTCCCTGAATGATGGTGCCAAGCTTGTGATTTTATTTCTACTTCAGATGACAGATGGCCCCAGAAAGCAATAAACAGATAACATTTTCCACTTCCCTGCTCATTTGGGGTGGGGGGGATGAGGTGGGCCCTACTGGGGCTCTCAGGTGTGAGACCTCAAGAGTGCCTGGCTGCCATAGAGAGGGCTTGAGTCTCACGGGTGGTGGGGTCACAGCAGGAGTGTGCACGTCCTCACGCTGTTCTCGCTCGGTTCAGCGTCCCTAGGTTGGTTCAAGTCCACCCAAACATCCCTTTTACAATTCTCAGGGTCCCACTTCTTCCAGATCAGTGCCCTAAATCTCCCACGAGATCCGGCAAGGCGGTGCGTTCAGCCTGCTACTCTGCCACCTGCAGGATCGAGTTTAGGGTCGTGTTCTCAGTTCTCTCTGCCCAAGGAGACAAAATGATTAAAGACGCTTTTCTGGTTGTCGAGGATGCTCTCTGGTTTTTCTCTCAGTGTCGTGAGTTTTCTTTCTCATACCGGCGATTTAACCCGGTGGTGCTTTACCTCTGAGCCACATCCCCAGCAGCCCTCTTGATGTTTTACTTATAGACGTGGCCTCCGCTGAGGAACTTGAGATCCTCCTGCCTCAGCCTCCCCAGTAGCTGAGATTACAGGTGTGGGCCGCCGCGCCCAGCCACTACCCACCCGTGTCGAGCTGAGGAGTTGGTCATGTTTTCTACCGGATCTCCAGTGTGGTGACGTGTCAGCTTTTTGTTGATGCGACCAAAAGGACAACTTAGGAAAGGCGAGGTTTATTGGGGGCTGTGGTTTCAGAGGTCTCAGTCCGTGGCTAGCTATTGCCATTGCTCTGGGTGGTGGAGGGAAGCTGCTCACCTTGTGACAATTGGGAATCTGACAGGAGCCAGGGACCAAATATAAACCCTAATGACCCACTGCCTTCAGTTACCACCCAGCGAGGCAGCCCTTTCAAATTAGCAGTCCAGTAAATGGATTAATCCACTGGCTGGGTTATAGTCCTCACGGTCTGATCTTTTCACCTCTGAATATTGCTCCGTTGCCCAACATGAGCATTTATGGGGGATACTTAATGTCCAAACCGTACAGGTGAGAAGCCTCCGGGCCTTGTATGCTGCACCCCCATGACCATGGTCAAGGGCAGCGGCTATTTGGTCTCCCAGGCTTTGCCTTTAAAGAACGCGTCACCCCAACACTTGAAGTAGGTGGCATTGGAAATGCGGGTTCCGCCGCTTGTCAGTGCGTTCCGGGCTGTCGCAACGGAATTCCCAGGAATTCCCAGGACTGAACTTAGAGAAGAGAGAGAGCTGGAGGGTGAGGGGCCCACCTCGGGCAAGGGTCTTGAACCCCCATCCCCAGCTTGTCCTGTTAGGAGAAGCTCGGGGAGGGAGCCACTAGATGTGGAATGACACTGAGACCGGGCACTCTCGGGTGGGCAACTCTGATCCACTACACACTCCTGCCGTGACGTTCTGTGCCACCAAAGTGACAGGACCAAGGGACTGTGCAGCCTGAAACCTCTGAATTTGTAAATCAAAATGAACCTTTCCTAGGACAGGGATGGATAAGAACACAGGAATATGGCAAACACTGGTACGTGTGCTACATCACCTACAGAGCAATGTACCCTCTTTTTTTTTTTTCTTTTCCTTGGGGAAAGCAAACATATAAAGAGAACAGAGAAACACAGAGCAGATTGGAAAGTGCATAAACCAATCAGAAAAATTAACTTTATGTCATTTTTGTTTTTAAAGTAACTAAACAATCAAAAAACCATCCTGACTTGAAACTCAGAGTTTTCATGTGAATAACAGGACTCAGGTAACTGCCAAGGTGATCTCTACCTTGAGAATCACATTGATTCTATGATCCTAAGGCAGAGAAAGATGAAAATGTTACCAAGCTCATGACTTGATAACAAGAAAATTGAAACTCTATAGGATGAGCATAAAAGAACAAGAGAAAGTGACTCAAAACAATCCCATTATGATATATAATTGTAATGCACTAAATAAATAAATAAACCAAAAAAAAATAAATAAATGAACCTTTCCTCTTCGTAACTTGATTATCTCAGGGATTTTGTCACAGCAAGGGAATGTAACACAAGGAAAGCCAGGCAGGAGCGATGTGTTGGTGTTTTATCCAAGACAACTGAGTGCCGGGAACTAGGGGAGCAGGTTGTCCTGTGAGAACTTCCCAGCAAGCCTGGGAGGAGAGAACCTGGGCTCCTTACCAGCAGAGCTGCCCTTCAGAGGTCCAGGGCCAAACATCCAAGGATCACCAAGTGAGGATGCCCAGACAGGGCTCCATCTTCACAGTCCCGTGGGGGTGGTGAGAAATCACACACCAGAAGGAACTCTGTTGAGACTGCCGGTGCACACCAGGTGAGGCCAACAACTTCCAGCAGAGGAGGAAGGCTTTCTTGAAGAAGGGACATGTGGGCTTCATGGTGGGAGGAGCTACAGGCCCTGAATGATGGGCCCCCGTGATCTGCAACCTTATCCACTGCTCTTCCCCATCTCACCCACCTCAGTCATCCAGGCCTCCCTACTATTCCCCATACCTGCAAAGCCACTCCCACCACAGGGCCTTTGCACGTGCTGTTGTTCCCTCTGCTTGGAGTGCTCTCCCCACATATGTTCATGGCTCCCTCCACATCTCCTTCAAGTCTAGGCCCGGTTATCAGCTCCTTGGTGAGGACTCCTTCCCGATCTCCCCCCCACACTCTTTTTGGTACCAGTATTGAATGAACCTGGGGTGCTTAACTACTGGACTACATCTCCAGGCCTTTTTAGTTTGAGATGGTTTCACTCCGTTGCTAAGGCTGGGCTCCAACTTGCTATCCTCCTGCCTCAGCCTCCCCAGTTATTGGGATCCCAGGCGTGCATCTCCACGCCCGCCCTCCCCTCTTAAGACGGCTATGCCCTCCACTCCTGAATCCTTACCCTAGCTCTATTTTTTCCCCATTTACTCCTCACACAATA